ATTTGGTCACTTTCTCTCTTCCAGTCAAATAATGAGTAACGCCTTTAAAAGTTTCTTATGATCAGCTTCTCTAACCTGACTATTTTTCTCAAACCCTAAGCAAGAATCAGAAGTAATTATCAAGAACTAATTCTCTCTTTCTCTTATTCGAATCTCTTATCTGATCACCATGTCTAAAGCCAGTCAAACACCATCTAAAGCTAAATCATCAACCAAGGCTGAAGCAAAACCCAAAATCTTGAAGCCCAAATCGAAGAAAAATGCCTAACCATCAAGAGCACCCACACCCACACCCACACCTACTCCTTCTCCTTCGATATCCTCCATTATACCTATATCATCATCCCTTATTCCTACTGTTCATACTGTTCCCATCATTCCCACCTTCACTGTATCCCCTCCTCCAAAAATAACTACCCATGCACCTGAGCTTCCTGTGAAAAATACCTCTATATCAACAAAGGTCAAAGCCACTCCAAGAAAATCTATCAAGAAAGTACCTGATGTTACTACGCAGGGTGATACTGTAGCCAAAGAACCTGTGGTTCGAGGGGAATCAGTGAAAGTTACTACTGATAAGGTACAACATCCCCCTTCCAAATTAGATGTTTTGGTGTTTGCTATAAATGTTGCACCCCTAAATACTCTCCCACCCACGAGTGAGAATCCACTAGTGGAGAAATTTACTGTAGAAAAAGGTGTAGGGGATCTGGGGAAGGAGGTAGATACAACGGTTGTGGAGCTTGTGGTTGAGGGGGAAGAAAGGAAAGAACCTATGCAAAAGGAGGCTTCTGATGGTCTTTCCTTTAGTTGGATTGAGGATGAGGAAGATGATGGGGGTGAAAAAGAAGAAGAAGCTGTGAACAATCATGAGGAACATGATGCCCAATCATAGGCAATGAAGAAGAAAAGAGTGAGAATGAGGGAGAATCTGGAGATGAGAAGGAGAGTGATACAGAGGATAAGACATTTTAACAAGCTAATGATTCTGCAGAAGAAGAAAATCAGACTGAAGAAGAAGAGGTTTCTACAAGTGAGGGTGAGGATCAAGAAAAGGTAAGTGAGAGTGAAGGAGGTGATGAAGAGAGTGTGGAAGAAGAGGGGAGTGTGAGTGAGGAATCTAAAGGTTCCATGACAATTGGAAACACTGTCATAGCCCCTTCAGAAGAAATAGGTGAAGCGACCAGGGCTCAAGAACCTAGGTCTTTATTGACTCCTTTCACTGGAGATGAAAACGTTAGTAGTGATGAAGATGATATGCCACTATCTGAGGTAGGGAAGAAATCCAGGAATACTCCTGTGAAAGCTACAAAGTCAGCAGTCTCAACAAAGAAATGAGTGGTTCCTCCTACCAGAACTGCTCCCACAAGGAGTAAAAGAAAGGTTGTTGATGCACAAATCATCAAGGAGTCCAGAAGTTTAAAGAAGCCAAAGAAGAAGGTTTCAATTGTGGAACCTGTTGTTGAGGTAGATGGAGAAGATGAATATGAATCTGCCTTGCCAGCAAAGTCTGCTACACAAGAAAAAAGGTGCCAAAGTCACCAAACCCGCTACCTCTTCTGCAAAGGCTAGTAAGCGTAAGAAAATAAAGAATGTTCCAGTTGTATTTGATCGACTCACTGAACTCAGGAACAAAAAAGTGCTAAATGGTAAGATTCTTGCGAACACTGATGAGAACTGGTTGAAAAACTTGAGCTGCTGGGGTGGAAGCACATGTTTGTCAAAGCTTTCCCCCCAAGTATGTGTTCCTGCTGTGGTGGAGTTCTATGCAAATTTCACATTTGATGGGAAGGTAGTCAAGAGTAAGGTAGGGGGCTTTGACATGGAGTTTGATGCTGAGGAGCTGGGGATGCTTCTGAATATCTTCTCTTTGGGATTTAACAATTACTTGAAGAAGACGTGGCCAACCATAGACAATGATGTTGACACTGGCATTGTGGTAACCAGGAAGTTCTCCCAAAAGTTTGAACTAGATGCTCCCCAGAAAGTGTACAAGACTAATATGACTTTCTTCCACAAGTTATTATTTCATTTTGTCAACTCCTGCATTCTTTAGAGATCTTAGAGAAGGCATGAAGCTACTCTGCTGGACATGGTTGTGATGGAGCTGCTTGACACTGGTAGACCTATCAATCTTCCTAGCCTAATGATTCAGCACATGGCAAGAGCTACAGATACCTCCAAACCCAAGCATGATATGCCATATGGTTTTATGCTGACTGAGTTATTTGACAAGCTCAACATTGCCTTACCTGAGTGTAAGTTTGGAAACCACAATGAGGTTTTGGATGTTGTTACCCTCAAGTAGTGTGGATATGAGGAGATCAAGGCTAGAGGACCCACGGGATCTCTTATTCTTCCTGGGAGCAGTAGGGTTGGAGAACTCAACAAGAGGTTGGAGTTGGCTGTTGAAGAGAATGCCAAGCTTCGTAAAGACAATAATGAGGTGAGAAAGGAAACAATGCAACTCAGGGAAGAGCTCAGAAGAGAAAGGGAGGCTCATGCTCAACAGATTGCCACTCTTGTGAAAGCCTTGACCCCCTCTGCTTCTCACCCATGAACCTGTTCCTTCCTAGTGTCCTTAGTACTTTTGTTATTCCAGTGATGCCTTATCTTTTGTTCTTTTTTTCTTAGTCTGAGTAGTTTGCAGTATGCTTAATATATTTTGTTCTAATGATGAAGACAAGACCCTGGGCTTCTTTTGGCACTACTTAATGTCTCTTATTACTCTGCTTTACTGTTTTGTACTATATTGGATCATCAACCTAGTTTATATGCCCTTTCTTAAGCTTGTGTTGTAGCATGTTTGGCCTTGAATCTTACATTATCTGTGCTTAATGTCTAACATTTTTTTTGTGTGCTTTCGATGATGCCAAAAGGGGGAAGATAATGTTGGAAAGTGTTGTAAACATAGGTTGGAAAGTGTTGTGAACATACATGTGTGTTGATAATACTTGTTGTGACTATATGGTTCTTTGATCTAGTTCTTTGATGTGATTATCTGGTTCTGATGTGGTTCTGTTGTGTACAAAGTTTATCATCATCAAAAAAGAGGAATCTTTTGAGTATTGAAGTTTTGATGATTGACAAAGTATGACTAAATATTCAAAGAACCAGGTCCTCAACGTAGCTGCTTAATTATTCTGAAGAACTAGCTCTTCAGGAGAAAGAACTAGCTCCTCAGGAGAATCAGATCCTCATGAGTGATACTTGTACATCTGTACAAGACGGTAACTTTATCTCAAAGTTACCCAGGTCCGAGTTTGGTGCAAGATGGCTACTATAGGTGATAAGGGTCGTTGCTCAAGAAGATATGGATAATTCAATTAGAGACTAAAGTCCCAAAGCTTATGGAATCCTTGGAACAATAGGAGTCCTATCAAAGAGGAAGCTGACTATGAATAAGACTTCTAGAAGATCTCAAGTTGTGTTTTAAATAGGGTCGACTTTGGATTTCTGAACTATCCTTTTACACATCAACTAAAGAGTCATAAGTTGTTTACTTGTATTGGGTACTTGCCTTGTATTCTTCCCGAGTCAGTCTAGTGAATGTGCTTTAGGAAATTGAGTTGTAATCAAGTGTCATAAACAATGAGTGAGTTGGAGTGAGTATTTTGCTTTACAAGTTAGAGTAACTTGTGAATCAAATAGGAGTAGTAGGAGTACTGAAGAGTATTTAATTAAAGTCTTGTAATTGATACATTTTGGCTTATTATTTTAGTGGAGTTGGAGTTGAAAATTCTACGTGGTAGGTCGTGATTTTTGCTTCTTTTGAGCCGGGTAATTTTTCACGTAAAAATCTTTGTGTTTATTTTATTGCTTTTTTACTTTACGCTTAAGGAACACGGTAAAGAACCAAGTTCTTTAGTCCATACGGCCACTCAAACTAACAGGGTGCTTAATTCATTTAATTTCGCCTCGATTTAATTTTTAGAATTCCATTAATTCCTGGTTCAAAAGCCATAAAGAATTCGTATGTATTAGCATTTGCCAAGGATGTCTTCATTAATCCAAAAAGAACGTTAGGGGCTCAAAGATGATCAAATATCGTCCTAGTCTCAACCATAAACGATGTTGATTAGGGATCAGCAGATGTTGCTTCTAGGACTCCGCCGGTATCTTATGAGGAATCAAAATTTTTAGTTTCCACAGAGTATGATCCCAAGGCTGAAACTTAAAGAAATTAAAAGAAGGGCACAACCAAGAGTGGAGCTTGCGGCTTAATTTGACTCGACCGTGTTCTGCACAATGTAACGGTGCTGGAATATTCTTTAGCATAAGGGAATTGAATAGTGGAACATCGCTCAAGTGATCATGTCCCTGTAATTCCTCATTTTGTTGCTAACTTACGATCATCCTTAAATAGAAAGGAAAGAAATACTAGAATATTAACATGGTTGGTTGGACAAAACCCTAGTTAGGGTCAACGTTTTAATGATTCTATTTGACTTATAAACATTCCCAATTCGTTCACCTTGCTCTACCTAACAACAGGAATCTTTTGCTTTGCTGCTAATATAATTCTCTTGATTTGATTGCCTTAAAATGAAATTAAATCATGTGCTCCCTTTGAAGCTCCAATAAAAACCTTGATAACCGTCTTTCTTTTTAAAGTACTACTCCCTCCCTCGCCGTCTCATATTAACAGTCGTCGTTACTAAAAATAGTTATCTCAAATTATTTGTCATTTTAGAAGTTCAAGACAAAATTGATTGTTTTTTTTTTTACCCTTGGTAATAATTGTTCTTGAAGATGGAGATAACACATAAATAGAATAAATATTCAATGAAGAGAGATTATATCTTAAGATATAAATAAGGGTAGAATAATCCAATCCATTTTTTAATTAATCTTTCTTAAGAGACGTGTAAAAGAAAAACACGACACATGAGAGAGAGGGAGTAGCTAGTAGTAATAAGTTCACACTCCCATATATAACAAAGAGATAGAAAATGAAGTTGCTCAATATAGAAACTTCTTCTTTAAGCTAATGAGGGCTTTGATTTCTGCTATATTATTAAATGCAAGTCTATAGTGTAAACATTTTCTTAACAGACTTCTTGGAATCGAAGATTCAAGAACTTTAGTGCTATTAAATACTTATTGTTTAATAGCAAAATTAAAGCATTTTCAATGGAGAGTAATTGCAAAGCTTAAAAACAGTAAAACCCTTTACAAACACAATAGAATAGGGAACATGCAAATTACACAAAGCTATCTCATTCTTTTACCTGGAGCCTTGGAGCTGAGGTTATTAAGTCATATCCATCTTATTTGAAATCATTAATTACTACTAAAACTTGTTATTATATGAAGCTAAGATTTTATCTCGATGAATTAGGGATAATTCCAGAGATCTTGGTCAGCAATATACTCAGCAGCAGTAGTGTCATCATCAGGAAGGTTGAAACGTGGAGGACTAAGAAGCATACCTTCAGCCATATTCATAATAACATTTGGCATATCAAAGATCAAATCTTCATCCATAAACTCATTATTATTCCAAGGTGTTGAATTTTCTACCTCTCTCGAAACCGGTATGATATTATTATTATTATCAACTCCTCTACGGGCGCTTAAAGCATCCCCGGCTGCCCCAAGAGCTGCAGCCGCACAGGCTGCAGCTGCCTGAATATCATGAGGCGAGTTAGTAGCCGGGACTGGCAATGAGGATGCTGAGTTTGGGAAGTTGAGCTCAGCATCCCTGCCTTTAAGGGCCAGTGCAGCTACGTCATAAGCAACTGCTGCCATTTCTGGGGTAGGAAATGTACCTAGCCATATCCTATTGGGTGATCGTGGCTCTCGAATTTCTGAAACCCATTTTCCACTGCTCTTCCTTTTCCTTATTCCTTTGTACACGGGGTGGCGCCCACTGCTTCCGCCACTGCTACTCGCCCCAGGATCGGACATCTGGATGTGTTACGTTAGTTGTAGTTGATAGTACTAGGTAATGGTACTTCAATTTGAGTTTAAGATTCCATTGGATTACGGAAGCCATTTATGAAGGAGGGAATTGTGTGCTATTAGCCTTGAGCAGCCAAAAATGGAGAAGTGCAAACCAGTTGGTAATGAACTGCTCAGGTGTAAGAGTTTTGGGTGAAAGCCAGAAATGAGTTGGAAAAATGGGTTGGATAGCGTTTTCTCAAAAGACCGCGCACAATAGGTGTTTGAACAGTGGCCTTTTATACTTTAAATATTAGCTATAACAGTACTGTTCTGGATTTATTTATTTTCTTTTTTATTTCTGATGAAGTGATTGATTTTCGGATTCGAACTAGAGAGTAGTGTTTGGAAGAAAGTCAGGAAATGTGAGACGTTGATATGACATTGTCTCTATGATGTCAGAATCATTGCATTCAGGTTTACCAAATTAATGAATATAAGATAGGTAGTATTTTATTTATATACATTTATTACTTAGCCGTGATTAATTGATTTGTATTCTAATTTTAATTTTTACTATTAAAATTAAGTCATTTATTGATGTAAATATCGAATAACCTTTCATGTAATCAAAGGAAGGCAACGGTGTTAAGTAGGCGTTTGGACATACATTGTTTGGAAATATTAATTGTAAATAGAATATTATTTGTAGATCAAGGTTTGATTTATAATCTCATCGTTTATTAAACTTCACTTAGAAATAAAAAAAATTGAGTACTTCAAGTGAACTATTTTTATCCACAAAACATCATTTTTCCTTAAAATAAAACTTATGTCTAAAGTTTCCTCGTTGGGTGATAAATAATTTTTCAGTACTTATAAATATTGAATTTTAGTATTTGCAAATACTGGTGAAATATTAAAAAAACTTGTTTAATTAATTTGAGGAGTATATCAAGAGAACAATAGAAATACTAATTTTTTGGCTCACATTCTTTCAACTTTTCTTCCAAGTATAAACTTTAGTATAGACACAATTTCAACTTCCAAATATTCTTTATCTTCTTTAACTTCAACTTTTTTTCAACTTCAACCAACAATTATCCAAATGCCTGTCAAGTCAAGTTAAAAGTAGAGAAAACCATTATTTGAAATTGAAGTTGAAAAAATAGTATGAAAGTTGAGTGTGTAGACATATAATATTTCTTATCTTTAATTTTAAGACAAAAGTTGTATTTACCGAGTGTTTTCAGTTCATTAAAGACTTAGAAATATGAGCGTAGTTTTCCGAACATATACTTGAACTCTTTATAAACTACCCAAAATGTTGAGTATTGTACCTGAGGTACGGACTTCATTAATAGAAGGGTAAACCTCTCCTCCTTCCAAAGAAAGAAAAGATCATTACTCCCTCCGTCTCATATTATCACTCATTATTACTGAAAATAGTTTTCAAATTATTTGTCACTTTAGAAGTTCAAAACAAAATTGATAATCTTTTTCCTTTTTATCTCTTAGTAATAATTATCCTTGAAGACTACAAACACCTTAATTATGGATAACTTTGTTCAAATACTAAAAAATATTAATACATGAACAAGGGTAAAGTAGTCAAAATTTTATCATAATTAATTTTTCTTAAGGGACGTGTACAAGAGAATTATGGCAAATAATATAAGACGGAGGGAGTAAGAGTGAAAAAATTTAAGAAGCGGTGCTCTTGTTCTAATATAGAAGCGGGGGAAGCTCAATAAAGTTGGTGGTCTAAAGTCATATCTTGATGAGAGGCTTAAATTTTTTTATTTGAAAAAAGAATTTATATGTTTATTTGAAGGATAGTTTTTAATATGAAAAATTATTAATTTTTTTTTAGCATAATCGACGTCTTCTAATGAATATATATATGTATACATAGATAATTCATTTAATCTGTTTACTATTAGCATTACTCTATAAGCAATTAATATAGCCAATTGAAAAAGAATTAAGTCATTTTATTTGATTTAGTGTATCGATTAGAGTATTATCTTCTATACTTGTATTATTTTCCTTAACACTTTTAGTTCACAAAATAATTTCTAAACTATTAGTAGTTTATTTATTTATTTATTTTATTTCATATTCAGTATCCGGAATCTATAGCGTGGCACGACTAATAAAACAACAACAACAACAACAACAACAACAACAACAACAACAACAACAACAACAACCCAGTATAATATCACTAGTGTGGTCTGGGGAGGGTAGTGTGTACGCAGACCTTACCCCTACCCTGGGGTAGAGAGGCTGTTTCCAAATGACCCTCGGCATCCTTCCCTCCAAGAACTCCCCACCTTGCTCTTGGGGTGACTCGAACTCACAAACTCTTGATTGGAAGTGGAGGGTGCTTACCATCATAGCAACCCACCATGTCCAAAAGTGAAATATGTGATATTAAGAACGGACTGTTTAACCCTAATTCGAATCATAAAACTAACTCATAATATCTTCTTACAATAAGTAAATAACACATTCATTACTATATATTATCAAGATAATCTTAATTAGTGGCAGTCTCCAGCTGGAGCTGTCAATGTCATTTTCCACCAGCAGTAAGTTAAAACTACATCTTTCAATTCCCCCCGTAATAAATCCTATAACTCTTAAGTTTTGGTTCAATAAGCCATCAGTTGTTTTCTTGAATATATGTACCGTGTACGGTGTACCTATTACTTCTAGACCTGAAATCTGAACCTCAAAAGGTAGAGGGTCTATAGTAGTTTTTTCTTTTAACATTCGTACTTCAATTCGGAATATTGTAGCACATATAAAGCTTGAATGTTGACAAGAGTGTGTTACTCTAGTGGTGAGCATCCTGCACTTCCAACTAAGATGTTGTGAGTTCGAGTCACCCCAAGAGTAAGGTGGGGAGTTCTTGGAGGAAGTGAGCCGAGGGTCTATCGGAAACAGTCTCTCTACCCTAGGGTAGGGGTAAGGTCTGCGTACAAACTACCATCCCCATACCCTACTAGTGGGCTTATATTGTTGTTATTATTGTATATAAAGCTTGAATGTTTTAAAATGCTTCTTCATACTATGAGAAAAATAATAAAAAACAACTTACTTACATACATGCAGAATATATATATCTAACCACTGATAAAATAATGTAGTAGTAAAAGTCCTCATTGTTGCATAAATATGAGCATCTAATAAGAGTGCTTTAAGTTTTATACATTGATAGGTTACAAAACCAGACCACTTATATGATTAATTGTAGCTATGTAAATGTCTAATACTAAGTGGCCGTTTGATAGGGAACAAGTTATTCTGGGATTATAATGATGAGATTATAATACATGATTAAATAATAACGGGATTATTTGGTGAATATATTTTATTAGGAGATATTTGGTCCACTGCACTAAAAATAGATTATATGGGGTATAATATAAATATGTGCTTGGTGTATACTAGATAAATTGAGATAAATTTTTATTTTCAATTTTAAACTTGAATTGTTTAAAAGATTTTGGGGGAAGAGCCTTGGAGAAGGACATCTTTGTCATTTTAGTGTTTTGTTCCGGAATTAATTAATCCTGAGATTATTAACCCACTTTCAATATGGAATAGAATAATATCCAACTGTAGAATTTAATTAATTTCAGGATCGCTAATCTCAAATTCAAAAATTCAATCAAGCACACCGCATTTAGTCCCCGGATTATTATCTCTTATCTCACATGTCGAACGACCCTAAGAAAGAGACGGGGGTTACGTTGAATTTTGAACCCACAGTTACCCCTGTTTTTCAAACCCAAGCAGAATGCCGTGTATAATAAATATGCACCGTGTTGCCGCTGCCGTGTGCGGCGTTTCCCGGCTAATTGCAATTGAAAAACTTCACGTCAATATCTTTATATCTTCTTTTGCAATATAATAGCAGAACCACCAATCACAGCGTACCGCAGTGTCACCTAATAGTTTCACCTATTAGGTTTACTAAAAGTCACATGACGGTAACATTTCAACCTTATTACAGATTCACTCAACTAGCAAAATGTTATTTATACACCTAATATGATCCTTTTTTTCTTTTTTACTCTTTTTTTTTCTTAAACGTGTTTAGAGAAATTGAGATACTAAGGTTGCTTTGTTTTTGGAGAACTAGATAGTTTTGGTTTTTTTTTTTCTGAAAAAGAAAAAAAGGAGTTTTTGATTTGGAAGAATTGAACTTGAGTCTATATTTTTTTTTCTTTTCTGATATTGCCATCAAACCCTAAATAAATGTCGTGGCTTTTGTAAGAGTGAAATTCAATAAATAAAAACTGATTAAAAATTTATTTGCTAGTAAACGTATTTTTCAAATAAAAATTTTGGTAAAAGAAAATCGTCTAAGAAAAAGAATTAGAAGCGGGCTAAACTGCTGGTAAATTAGAAACAATATGATGTCCATTATTCTTCAGATTTAGATGCTCCAATCACATGAGCTTACATAATATTTAATTAGTAGTTTTGTACAATGAATGAGAATAGTTATTCCATAACACATAAAAAGAAGTGGTAAGATTTCATCCCCCACAATTTAATGTGTATAAATGTTGGATAATCAACTTCTTAATTCCCACACTAAGTGGGTGCCGCCCCCATTGTTTTTTTTTTTTTTTTTTAAGAAAACGGTGATTGGTTTTAGAAACAAATTAGTAGCATCTAAATCAAACATGTTTTCCAAACCAATTTGATTTGGTGTATAAACCAATACACTACATTCATTACTAGTTTAAAAAAATTCGAAGGCAAGCCAAATTTTGAGATTAACCCCAGAATCAGAATTCAGAATGCAACAAGTTTAGAGCAAATAATCTCCTATGACCATTTACCTATAACTATCTCATGTATTTTTTTTATATATAGGGGCAGGAAGTAGAGAAGTGGTATCTGGGTATTATATATGTGATAGAAGTATGCCTACCAAAATAAAAGGTAAGTTCTACATAGAATAGTTATAAGATGGATAATATTATATGGTAGTGAATATTTGGCTGCTAAAGTACAACATACCCACAAGATGAGTGTTGCAGAG